ATTTCCCTTTACAATTTTGAAAAAAAAAAAAAAAAAAAAAAAAAAAAAAAAAAGAAATAAAAAAGGAACAAAGGTCTGAAAATAGCCGAAACACAGAATGACGGATTTGAGGGGTAGAGTCTTGACCTACTAGGTAGCCATACCTAGTACTGTATTCAAACTTCTGTAAATATCCTTGGCACAAGGATAGGCAAATAGACCTGTGTACCGGATTAGAGATTCCCTAAACAGGAAACCTGTCATACCTGGCATTACAGATCGTTGGTGAAAGGATGGCCTGTTCCATAAATGGCATATGGTAACTGGGTGTCCTATGGGGGAAAAAAGTAAAAAATGATCTCTACTTCACATTTCACATGGATCAAAAACATGATAATATGAAAGCCAAGACCTTAAAACTTTTTAGAAAAATATACAAAACACTACCTTTACAACCTCAAGGTGCAGGTAAAGAATTCTTAATATACAAAAAAAATGCAACTATAAACTAACAAATTTAATTAGATTAAAATTAAGGACTTCTCTTTACCAGTAGACCATAAAAAAAGAAAGACAAGCCACAAACTGAGAAAAAGATGTTATAACAGAGCAACAGATATAACCGCCAAAGGTTTCATATCCAGAATAAAGGACAAGAAACTTAAGTGGGAAAGAAAAGATTTTTTAAATTTATGTATGTATATTTTTTTCTAGTAATCAAGGAGATGCAGATTAAAGCCACAGTGAAGTATCGTTCATACCCATCAAGCAAAAATTTAAGAAAGTGACAATACCAAGTGTTGTTGGGGTTGTATAGTAGTGAGAGTTTTCATTCACTATTGTTGGGAATGAAACTTGGTATAGTCACTTTGGAAGATTTAACATCATCTTATAAAGTTGAAGGTGCATGTGCCCTTTGACACAGTAGTTCCACTTCTTAGAGATATACTCTAAAGAAACTCTTAAACATGTGCACCGGCCGGGCGCGGTGGCTCAAGCCTGTAATCCCAGCACTTTGGGAGGCCGAGACGGGCGGATCACGAGGTCAGGAGATCGAGACCATCCTGGCTAACCCAGTGAAACCCCGTCTCTACTAAAAAGTACAAAAAACCAGCTGGGCGAGGTGGCGGGCGCCTGTAGTCCCAGCTACTCGGGAGGCTGAGGCAGGAGAATGGCGTAAACCCGGGAGGCAGAGCTTGTAGTGAGCTGAGATCTGGCCACTGCACTCCAGCCTGGGCGACAGAGGGCTCGGGAAAAAAAAAAAAAAAAAAAAAAAAAAACATGTGCACCAGGAGACATGTAAAACAGTGTTATTTAGGATCATGATTTATAAGTAGTAGCAAAAAACCAGAAACTCAAATAACTCTAGAAAGAGAATGGATAAATTTTGATATAGGTATAGAGTGGCATATTATACAACAGTGAAAAAGAGTGGATTGCAGCTATATGCATCAACTTGGATGAATCTCAGAAACATAAGATTAGGTGGAAGGGTGCAAGCAAACCATAGATAATACCTCAATTTACACAGTGGTCAGAACGAGGTAAAATACTTAGGCTCTGGCACATAGTAAATTCTGTAGAAGTAATTGGGTACAGTTATTAATATTATTGGACATGTAGTAAATCTATAAGGAAAAGGAAAAGCACAATTAATACAAACCTCTTACCTGTAGTTACTTCTCTCTCTCTGCTAGAGAGGCCTGTGATCATTTCAGAATATATGGTGGGTTTGTAAGATACTGGCAGTATTCTTAAACTAGATGGTATGAACATGTTCTTCTTTTTATGAATTATTCTTTAAACTGCCCATTCATAATTAAATACCTTTATTTATATGTGTCTGTATTTCACAGTAAAAACTTTTTTTGGAAATGCATTAAAATGACATTTGAAGTATTTTCAGATCAGCATGGTAGTACACCTTTCACTTTTACAATTTAAAAATAGGTACAGCCTGTAAATATGTTGTGCAACCACAAACAGCAACAATATTTCCCTTTACAATTTTGAAAAAAAAAAAAAAAGAACTTTTGCTTGTCTTTGCCTTCCTGTTATTATTACATTGTATTAAAGTGGAGGAATAAATAAAATAACCTAAGCCAATAAAGTGAAAAGGAGTAAAAGAAATTTTGTTTCACTAAAATTATATGCCTTCTGCTCTCCTTGTGCTTTCAAATCACAGTATTCATCCAAGTATAGTGCTTTGTATTTCTATAAGAAATGTAAAATTTTCCGTATCTCTAATAATTTTATTAGGTGTCTAATAGAATAATCTTTCCATGGTAGAATTCCCATAGGTTAGCATAACTCGTGGAAGGGTGTACTGGTTTGAAAATCAGTTTATGTAGCAATTTTTTTCAAGAGAGTAAATTACACCACCTTTATCTTGTTTACTGATAAAATTGCTGATTTATTTGCCTTTGTGCATATTTGTGATCTGACAGTTCTTGCCCACAGAATCTTTGGCTCACTAAAGATAGATGCAAATTGTAGGATGACTTTTTGATTTGTTGCTGGTTGCCACCAGTGGCTCTAGGCAGTCTACATGTGTATTGCCAAGCTGAAGGTGCATAGATCAAAAAAACAGGCTAGGTGCATGCCTCACAACTGTAATCCCAGCACTCTGGGAGGCCTAGGCAGACAGATCACTTGAGGTTAGGAGTTAGAGACCAGCCTGGCCAACATGGTAAAACCCCATCTCTACTAAAAATACAAAAAGTAGCTGGGCGGGTGACATGCGCCTGTAATCCCAGCTACTCAGGAAGCTGATGCAGGAGAATTACTTGAGCCAGTGAACCAAGATCACCCCACTGCCCTCCAGCCTGGAGGACAGAGCAAAACTCCATCTCAAAAAGGAGAGGAAACAGAAAAGGAGGTACAAAAAGACTTGGGATTGTGTTTTGACACTTGTTCTAAAATATGTGGCCTCGTTTTGCTCTGGGTACCCCTGAATTTCATACAAAAGCCATAACATACAAAAAAGGGTGACGCTTTATAGATTTGATAACGGCTTTCATCCTTTAATGTTTCTTTTCATCTTCTATTTTGTCTTTTACTGTTTTTTTCTTGTGGTATTTTACAGGAAGGGAAGATTCATTAGAGCCAAAGCTGGTCTTGAATATTTAAATGTTAAATAGTTACTATTTCAGGCAATGTAATTTTCTTCGCTATTATTTCCGTATAACAGAGACTTTCTATAAGTTTAATTTACTTGGTTTTTTTGCTTGTTTTTGTAGACACTGTTGATTCCATTACTCCTGACAAAGTACGAGGTTTAAGGGATATGCTGAACAGCAGTGCAATGGACATAATGTATTATACTAGTCCGCTTTATAGAGATGAAGTAAGTATCATGATTATCTTGCTGGTGGGTATTTTTTAGTGATAACTTACAAATGTCCTGAATTTTTACATTTTTTAAGCAAATGAGAAATTACAGGAATTCATTATAAATAGCCTACTTTTAATAAATTTGATAGTCTTCAAACAAGACATTAGGACCGTTAATGAAACAGATAGTCTCAGGTGGGGAACTGGTTAGAAAATAGCTCTTTGAGAAGTAACAGTGTTCATAAATCTGATTGTATCTGTGACTGTTGTCTTCACAAAAGAGTTTTAGACATAAAATGTCCTTTACATTTTTTGTATATGATGGACATTTATTGCTTCACTTCTGTAATGAATTCGTACAGTTTTCAAATGGTAGTGGAGCCGATGCCTCCCAAGAGTAACACTGGGGCAAGAAGTGAAGGTTTATTCAAGAAGATGAGAGAATCTCCACCAAATGCATTTTGTCACTTTATTGATAAGAGGGAAAGGAATTCTGTTTAGTAGGAATAACTAACATTTGTTAATTGCCTAACGTGTTAACTTGTTTAATCCTTATTTTAAAAAATCCTGTGAAGTAGGTATGATTAGTATCCTCATTTGAAGAATGAGGAAACTGATGCCAAGAGAGATTTTAAGGCTTGCTTATTGTGTCTCGCTTAATAAGTGACAGAGCCAGTATTTGAACCCAGGCAATATAGCTTCACAGCTTACACTGTTTACCACTTCTCTCCTCTGTGTTCACAAGATAGCCAGTCTCTCTGTTATTTATTGGCGGATTATTTTGACTTTCCTGGGCCTTTAATCAGTAAATATTTAGTGAGCCCTACTCTGTGCCAAACACAGGCTAACAGGGGGCCACTTTACTGCAGACTCTTACCCTTCATTAGCAGGGAGACAGGGAAAATGAGTACAAGTGTTTGAAAGTAAGATCTGTCACGTTGGTAAAATTTATTTATCAGGAATCCCAGGTAAGATTTGATAATATTTATGTATACTGAATCAGTTGGCTAAAGGTGTTTTGAACTAAGAATATGGTCTACATGTTTATTGAAAATGTGTTTATTGAGAACTATATATAAGATACTGTACAAGGATCTTGTATAAGGGGGAGTCTCTGCCTTCAAGAAAGGTTAAAATATTACAATACATAGGTCCATATTTATGAAATGTGTGGAAGGAAGAGAAATCCATGGAAATTTTTGCAATTACTCTTTTTTTCCCTCTGAAAAAAGCATTTAGGCTTATTGTTATAGTACTTAAGATAAATTACATTTCCATATTTCATCATAGTCATATATGGCCCCAATTTTTGTTCTAAAAACCATGCAGTAGAAATTACTTTTTGCAAAGTGTATATGGGCTCTAGAGATAGACTGCCTGATTCCAGTCCCACTGTAACACTTAATTTCTGTATGGCTTCTGTATCTGCAAAGTGGATATTCTAACAAGTAGCTACTTCATAGCATTCTTGTAAAGATTAATTGAGGTAATGCTTATATTAACATGTGGCACATGGCAGTCAAGAATTACTATTATTACAGGTACTATAATATCAAATCATTTTAGTTTTTTGAATTCTGAGTAAAATTCTTCAATGCTGAAACAGACATGTTGCTGCCTATAGATACCTCTGCTTTCATAAGAGAAAGAAGGGTTTGATGTTTTCTGTGGGAGCTTTTTTTAATCAATTTTTTTAATCTAAAAATATTCCTAAGTAAGCTTTGAAAAACTAAGTATGGAGTGGAGCCTGACAGTAGGATTTTGTGTATATGTTTTCTGTATAAAGATCTTAGATTTCTTAAGGTTCCATAACCTATAACTATCTTTATAATAGACATGTAAAGTATTTCAGAGTTAACAGGTTTATTGTTTTATATGTATTAACTTATAAATGTAATTTGCCAAATATTTTCTGAGCACATTTTGACACATTTTGTTGTTTTAAGCTAGTAAAGTGGCATAGACTTGGCAAAGGAAGTAACAGATAGTGTTGTTTGTGTCTCATTTCTCTCCAGTATTTTTATGTTCTTGAGGATGAGAAAAGGAAAAAACAGTTATATCCCATACCCCAATTCTATCTTTATAAATTCAAGTGAGCGATAACAAAGTTCTAACCCAAAATAGTGTTAATAGGAATAAAGAGAAGAGATAGATTCAAAATATGATAGAATTAAGTGGTCTTGAAATGATTTGTTATGGGTGATACAGGAAGGGAAGAGACAGATGATGCTTACAATTTCTAGCTTAGGCAACTCGTAGATGGTTCTGATATTAACTATAAATGGAGGAAGGGGAAGCAGATTTTTGTAGGGGAAGAGAGTGGAACATAAGGAAAATAATGCATTATACTTATAAATTTTTGGTATGTTTACGATTCCCTTCTGGAGTTGTATAGCACAGACTATAATATTAGAAGTGAAACCAGTCAGAGTGCAGGGAGGAGGATATCAGAGCACATGTTACCATTCGCATACACATACCTGCATATATATGGCTGGTGGTACCCCTAAGAGGGCTCAAAGCTCTGGTCATTGGCTAGTGGTGACTGAGCAAATGGTCACTTTCTGTAATGCTCTTACATGTGGAAAGATAATTGTCCTCAGAATGGAACTGAATAAAATAGATAGTAGGAAGAGGGAACCAATATCTATGATAAATGGGGGGCAAAGGGAACACCTGGTCCTTTGAATTAGTTTGTCTTTTGATCCAGATGAATTTCATGGGAGAGCATGAGAACTTGTGACTGAAATTCATCAGCAATCTTTAGCAGTGATTTTCAAACATCCCTGATGAGAATCATTTCTATACTCATTAAAAATAACAGCAAAAATAAACCCAGGGTAAGGGTGGCGGGTACTGGAATTTGAGGGTATCATTGTAAATTCAACAATTTCTAAAATATGCATGTGTGTTGTGAGTATTACTTATATATGTAAGTGAATATGTATATATACAGGCATACCTCAGAGATACTGTAGATTTGGTTTCAGACCACCGCAATAAAGTGAATGTCACAATAAAGCAATAAAAACAATAAAGCAAGTCATGCAAATTTTTTGGTTTCCCAGTGCATAGAAAATTATGGTTATGCTATACTGTATTCTTTTAAGTGTGCAACAGCATTATGTCTAAACAAGTATACATACCTTAATTTTAAAATACTTTATTGCTATAAAATACACACAGTCATGAAGTGAGCACTGTTGGAAAAGTGGCAACAGTAGATTTACTCAGCGCAGGGTTGCCACAAACCTTCAATTTGTAAATGCATTGTCTACAAAGTGCCATAAAACAGGGTATGCCTGTTCACACATGTACTTCCTAACCTTGCCCACCGAAGTGGCCAATAAGCAAAGACACCCTAATCGAGCACACCTAGCACCCAGATCTCTTCCTCTAGCGCTATTATTTCCCACTGAGGAAAATCAGGGTTCCTCAGGAAAATGGCTGATTCTGGGGCTGGAACAACTTGTTATGACAGAAGGTAGGAAGATGCTCAAAAGAATTATGGGGTAGGTCACAGGAACACAGTGCCAAATTAAGCAGCTCTCACTGGCCAAATCTGGAACAATTTGAGCACCAAAAGTATTATTTATAAATCATTGAAAAAATTATTAGAAGTTCATATTGACTATAAATAAATACATGGGGAAAAAGGAGAATCCTTGCTTACAGTAGAATGCCAAAGGCCAGCTGATGGAGGGAATCCTGGAGTTGGAAAACCATTTTACAGCTATCATGGTAGGATTAGGTAAGAGAAGACTGGACACAAATTGATGAATACTAAATTGAAGGCAGTATTTTGATGAGGAGCAGGATATTTACATGGTCATAAAGTATATCCCCACAAACTGATTATTCGTTTAAGAAAGAGCAACAATAATTATACACTGGAGAAATCAAGCAATACCTAAACTGGGTATTCCTGAGGAGCAGATGGACATTATGCACCTCTGGATATGACATACAGAGGAGAACATATCACTTATACAGTATTCTGACAATGAGGAAACATCAGACAAACACAAAATGAGGATGTTGTAATAAAAAGTAGGAATGACACTGTATTCTTTAAAAATATCATTATCAGGCTAGGTTCAGTGGCACATGCCAGTAATCCCAGCCCTTTGTGAGGCCAAGGTAGGAGGATCATTTGAGCCCTGGAGTTCTAGACCAGCCTGGACAACATAGCCAGACCCCGTCTCTACCAAAAATAATTTTTTAAAAATCAGCCATGTATGGTGGTTTGGGCCTGTAGTCCCAGCTGCTCGGAATGCTGAGGCCAGAAAGGATTCCTTGAGCCTGGGAGGTCGAGGCTGCAGTGAGCTGTTCTCACACCACTGTACTCCAACCTGGGTGACAGTGAGACCCCGTCTCAAAAAAAAAGAAAAAGAAAATCAGTATCATAAAGGCAGAGTGGCTGCAGAAAATGTTCCTGATTAAAGGATGCTAAAGAGACATATAGCTAATGCCATATCTAAATTGAAGAATTTAGGGGTAAAAGACCGTGACATATATAATATATCCTCAGATGATTCCCAAAAAAGGTGAGGGTTTATGTGTTTATCATAGAAACAGAACAAGTGAATAAAGCAAGTGGGATACAATGCTAACAATATGTGAACCTGGGTAAAGGTTATATGAGTGATCTTTGTGTTATTTTTATTTTGCAACATTTTATATATTTGAAATTATTTTCAAATGAGAGGAGGCCGTGCCGGGCTCGGTGGCTTACACCTGTAATCCCAACACTTTGGGAGGCCTAGGCAGGTGAATCACCTTAGGTTAGGAGTTTGAGACCAGCCTGACCAACATGGAGAAACCCTATCTCTACTAAAAATACAAAATTAGCCATGCGTGGTGGCAAGTGCCTGTAATCCCAGCTACTTGGGAGGCTGAGGCAGGAGAATGGCATGAACCCGGGAGGCGGAGCTTGCAGTGAGCCGAGATCGCGCCACTGCACTCCATTCTAGGTGACAGAGCGAGACTCCATCTCAAAAAAAGAAAAGAGGCCGGACATGGTGGCTCATGCTAGTAATCCCAGCACTTTGGGAGGCCGAGACGGGCAGATCACTTGGGGCTGGAAGTTCAGACCAGCCTGGCCAACATGGCAAAACTCCATCTCTACTAAAAATAGAAAAATTAGCCAGGCATGGTGACAGACACCTGTAGTCCCAGCTACTCGTGAGGGCAAGGCAGAACAATCTCTTGAACCCGGGAGGCGGAGGTTGCAGTTAGCCGAGGTCACGCCATTGCACTCCAGCCTGGGCCACAGAGGGAGAGCCCATCTCATTTTAAAAAAAAAAAAAAAAAGGAAAGGAATAGTTTCCCAGATCTCCCAGAGATTCTCATTCGGTGGTTCTGATATGGAGCCCGTGATTTTGTATTTTTAACAGTTCCCCTACTTGATACTATCCCAGGAATTCTGGGAAAACACTGCTTAAGGCATTGTGAAGAACAAAAGGGATGCTTCCTAAGTGAGAGGAGGGCAAACCTTTTTTTTTTTTTTTTTTTTTTTGGAGGCAGGGTATCACTGAGGCCGGAGTGCAATGGTACGATCTCAGCTCACTGCAGCCTCCGTCTTCTGGCCTCAAGTGATTCTTACGCCTCAGCCTCCTGAATAGCTGGGGCTACAGGTACGCACCAATACACCCAGCCAGTTTTTTTGTTTTTAGTAAAGGCAGGGTTTCACCATGTTGCCCAGGCTGGTCTTAAACTCCTGACTTCAAGTGATCCTCCCACCTTAGCCTTCCAAAGTGCTGGGATTACAGGTGTGAGCCACTGTGCCTGGCGTATTCCTATTTTTAAAAAGAGAAGTTGATTCTGTAAATTAAAATCCATTAACATGAGATTGGTGTTAGGCAATATTCTAGGATAAATTATTTAAAAATATATGTTTCCTTAGAGAAGGAATGATTTGGAGTAAGTCACATGCCTGGTGAATGAACCTTGTTTGGTTTATTTGTGAGGCATTTTAAAGAGCCTTTTCCCCTCTTCTTCTCTGAGCCTTTGTAGTCAAATAGATGGAGATTCAAAGCCTGCCACTTCTATAATCCCAGCACTTTGGGAAGCCAAGGCAGGCAGATCACTTGAGGTCAGGAATTGGAGACCAGCCCGACCAACATGGTGAAACCCCGTCTCTACTAAAAATACAAAAATTAGCCAGGCATGGTGGTGCACACCTGTAATCTCAGCTACTCAGGAGGCTGAGGCAGGAGAATCACTTGAACCTGGGAGGCGGAGGTTGCGGTGAGCCAAGATCGCACCACTACACTCCAGCCTGGGTGACAGAGGGAAACTCCATCTAAAAAAAACAAAAACAACGACAACAACAAAACCTGCCACTTAACCAGCTCTGTGTTCTTAGATCAAATTTCTCACTTTCTTAGCTTCCCCACTTATAAAATGGGATAAAATATGTACTGATAAAGTTTGTCATTAGGATTAAAGATGAAATGTGTATAAAGTTTCCAGTACAATTCATGGTCTTTAGACATTCAAGTTATGATTGATTACGTGTATATTTGTATTTATGTATTTCAAGGGCCACCATATTTTTAATAGACTTATTCTGTTAACTCTAAAAAGTAAAGGTCAGTGGATAGAAAATATGGGAAGGAACATGTTTGTTTACTGTACGGAGCTGTGTAGTAACAAAGCTGTCTCTAAAGATAGAAGTGGACACTTTAAAAATGGAGATATGCACTAAAATAGAGACTGAGTGACCGTTTCTCAGGGATGCTACTGAAGGGACTCCTAGCTTCAAAGCAGTTTAAATTAGATCATCGCTGAGGTCCCTTTTAACTCTCACATTCTTACGTGCTCATGGGAGAACCCTAATTAATGGTTTTCCTAATAATTCCTGAAAAGTCATGGTTAGGGGAAAAGTTGTGTATATCAATCAGTACTTCTCAGATGACTTTCTGAGGACCAGTTTAAAAAAATCAACCAAAAAAATTAATTTCAGACTATCAAGAGATCATCAGAGAGCCTTTGGCCCTTACTTCAACCCTAAAGTAACACAAGAAATCCAGAGAGAACTGTACATCTTGTGTAAATCTGAACACTCTTTTCAATAGCTTTTAAAAATGAAGAATTATATAGAGAATTGTCCTAGCTGTATCTTGACATTATTTGAATTATTTAATTGATATATATGACTAGAACTCTCTAAATTACGAGTAGAACTCTCTAAATTACATTTTCTCATCACAATTTCTTGAAGCAGGGAGAGCAAAGGACTAACTCTATTCCTCAGCCATATTTTGTGTGTTTGGACTCAACTCTTGAAACTCCTGGTTTTTCCTCCTTATGTTCATTTCCTTCATAAATTTTTACTCTTGAGCAGTGGTCATGGAAATTAGAAATTGTTTTAAACTTTTAAAAAGCTATCCAGTGCTTACTGTGTAAGAGGTTTGCTGACTTGATTAGATCATATTGTAGATCTAATAGATAATAAAGTTAAGATCCCAGGGTATATTGTTAATCTTGGCTGAGATGTCCCAAATGAATACAGTTGGTCACAAAGGGATCCTAATTGGGAGAATATAATTGGATCAGAAACGAGAAGGAAAAGAAAAAAAATTCCAATTAGAGTAAACTTGTTGGATACAACATAGATATGAATTTCTCCTTTCACTGATGAGCAGATGAGATACAGAAGCATTTAGAGGTAGTACAAAGCTGTTTAAAAAGTTGACTTTCAGAATCATAATGTCTGACCACAGATGTCCCATATATATGCATAAGCAATAGAAAAAGAAAATGCTACCATATCCAGATATGCTCTAATAAGGAAATACAAAGGCCATTTCTATTCAAGTGTATAATTATTAAAACAGATGACATCATCAGCTCTTCAGAAACTGTCCATGCTATGCCTCATTCCATAGTGAAATATTTTAGTATCAAATAGACTTTCTCTGCCTTAGATAATTTGATCTTGTTTTTTTACCCATATGTGATTGCCAAACTAATGAAGTATTTGGTGTAGTGAGAGATGTTTTAAAATTTTTGAATATGAAATAGGTTAATTACTGGTAGTGTTATTTCCTTTTTAAAAAAAAACTTTAATATGGGAGTAGGCTGGTATTTTATAAAAACAAAAAGATTGGGTACGTTTTATCAGAGTACTAAAGTATGTACCTGTTAGTGCTTTGAGATTTACATGGTACAAGTCTTAAAATCAAGGTCTTCAAAAATAAAAACGATTAAGAACTGCTGCTTTTAAAGGAAATTATTTTATCTAAGCGTTACCCTTCTCTGTACCTACCTCATGTAGATTGTAAATCAGGAAAATAATGAAATTTTAAGGATTGGTTGATATTGTTATCAAAGCCAAATCCAAATCATATTATAGCTCCCTTCAAACAGCAATATAGTATTTCACACTGCATATTCCTGAAACTATATTAATTAGAGTTTTACTTACAACCCATGTCTTAGAAGATGTTTATGTACATTGCCATTAAATCAGTAGTTTCTAAGGTGTGGTCCTCAGGCCAATAGCATCAACATCTTCTGGGAGCATAATGAAATGCAAATTCCCAGGCCACATCTCAGCACTTCGGGATCAAAAAGTCTGGGATGGTACCTAGAAATCTGTATTTAACAAGCCCTCCGGGTTATTCTGATGCATGTTGCAAATTGGAGAACTATTGCACTAAAGCGTGTAATTCTTTTTTACTTCCTGATGAAAAAAAGAGTCTAATTAAAATAAAACTTTGGCATTTCTCCCTAGAGAAAAGGCAGCTTATCATCCTTCCACATGCTGCAAGCTTGTCTTATCCTTTTCTTTCTTCATCAGCTGAATATATTTCATCAGACATGATAGTTTCAGAGCTTTGACTAGACCTTTAGCTTTAACCAGTATTGCATTGTGAAGCTCTGAGATGTCAACAGAGACCATCATCCCTTTATTGATGTTACTGCTAACTGTGCCAATCATAAAGTACATAAAGAATGATTTTCAGGTTGTGTCAGCAGATAAAGAATTTTCAATAAAAGTTGATAGTGGCTAGTTTTCTCTTGAGACATAGTAACAAGCCTGAAAATGGAAGCAACAAATAACTAATATTTATATGTCAGAGTAGCAGCTGGTATATTAAGAAGTACTGAAATGAGAAATTGAACATCCAGCAGGAAATTCATAATCAAATAGAAGTAAGCAGTGGTAGGAAGAAGAGAAGACTGCCTTAAAACTCAGGTCAGGGCCCAGGGTGGGTTTGGGTAACAAGAGAACCTTATTCTGACTTTATGGAATATTTCAGTAATATTTGTTAAAGCTTAATTTCAAAGAAAGCAGTTTTAAAAAGAAAAATTACGAAAATACTCCCCACATTATTAACCTCTAAACTTAAAATAGCCCTGCTTTTCAGACATAGAAAGCAACTTTTTACTTTTATATCTGTATTGCCAACTTAGTGGGAATTTTGAAATATCCAGTAGATCAACTTCAGTTTTTTCTTCAATCATACAGTGGCCTTTTATTACATTACTCTATCTAAAAGCACAATAATTTATAATATGTTAATATACCTATTATCATAAGCGCAGATACTCATTTTCTAAAATTTACTGACTAAAATCTGCAAGGTACAAAAATTTAGAATTGCATGTAGGTAAGTTACAACAAAAAAGAAATTTGCAGGGGTCTTTGAAAATCTTACTGGTATCTGCGTAGAACTTTTTTTTTTTTTTTTTAATCTAGGGAACTACTGGCTTATACAGTTTTAGGTTTAAGGACTACAAAAGGATCTATGTAATATCTGCCTATATTCTTAGTGATGATATGGATTATAATAGTATGTATACCTTCATTCCTGCAAGATTTTGAAAGACCTAAGTTAATTTTAATAACCTAGGTATGTTTAATCAGTAATGTATGTTTTTCTACCTTAATGTATTTGAGTTTAGAATAAGTGTATAGTAGTCAGTGCCAACTCTAATATGATAATGTTTTCTTATTTCAAACAGCTAGTTAAAGGCCTTCAGCAAGAGCTGAATCGATTATATTCCCTTTTCTGTTCTCGGAATCCAGACTTTGAAGAAAAAGGGGGTAAAGTCTCAATAGTATCACATTCCTTGGGATGTGTAATTACTTATGACATAATGACTGGCTGGAATCCAGTTCGACTCTATGAACAGTTGCTGCAAAAGGAAGAAGAGTTGCCTGATGAACGATGGATGAGCTATGAAGAACGACATCTTCTTGATGAACTCTATATAACAAAACGACGGTAAAATATCCTAATCTTTTGAAAAATTTTTACATGTCTTTATGGAATTACTGAACCTCTTAGGAGAAAACTAAGAATTTCATGATAAAGAAATAATGCATTGTTTAGGATACAACGATCACTACATAGCACGTGTAATCAAGCTAGAGACTGTTGATTTTCGTGCTAATTACATGCATTTTCCTGTAGCATAAAATAAATTCTTTTGTTATTCTCCTTGTTTTCCTTTCATCTTTTCTTCACAATTTGTTAGGAGTGAAATTTAAAACTTATTCCAAGCTTAGTCACTGCATAGAATCCTTATTGAAAATGTTTACCAGTTTATAATCTTTCATAGTTTTACTGACCTTTCGAGGTGGGTTTCTACCTTTCTTATTGTTCTGAAAATAATTTTTAAGCACTTTTTTTGGCAAATTTTTTTTTACATATGTTATATATATAAACATAATTGTATTTGTTACATAATTATAAATAGATTTTATAATTTAATCATTTGTGGCCTTCCCGATACTATCTTCTAATTATTTGCTACATTCCTATCTTCATCTCTAGTTACATGCCTTATCTTCTTTGTTCTCTTTATCTGATTAATTCTAATATAACAATGAAAAATCATTCATTTTGATAATTTACTAGCATATTAAAACAAATGTGCTAATTGACTAAAAGTTTTACTCGTTTTGTTTTTGTCTTATAGATGTTAACTAAGGATTTCATTTAGAATCTTAAGTACCGTAGGCTAGACACATAAATATAGTGTCAAAATAATTGATAGTTTTGAAATAAAATGTCATGTTTGGCAAGACTGGAGCAGCATTTTAGATGTATAAATCCAGTAAAACTTTAAAAAAAAAAAAAAAAAAGCATGGCAAATAACAGATTTTTTGGGGGGGGAGACGGAGTCTTGCTCTGTTGCCCAGGCTGGAGTGCAGTGGCACAGTCTCAGCTCACTACAACCTCTGTCTTCCAGGTTCAAGTGATTCTCCTGCCCCCGCCTCCCCAGTAGCTGGAATTGCAGGCATCTGCTACCACGCCCGGCTCATTTTTGTATTTTTAGTAGAGATGAGGTTTCACCATGTTGGCCAGACTGGTCTTGAACTCCTGACCTTAAGTGATCCACCCACCTGAGGCACCCAAAGTGCTGGGATTCCAGACACGAGCTACTGTGCCTGGCCAAGTATAGCTTTAAAAATAATAATAATAACTTAATTCCATATTTACTAAATGTAAGTAGCTATGAAACATTATAATTGAAAATGATGTTCATCACAGAGAAGGGTTAGACTATGGTTCACCTGTATTTTGGACAGTCATAGTTGTTAAAAAAAATTGAAGTAGGTCAGGAGGCAATGAAATGAAAAGATCTCTAAAGTCTTAAGTATAGAAAAGAGAGATAGAACAGTATATATGGTATTAACCATTTGGTATAATTTTTTTAAAGGTGTATATGTGCTTGTATGTGACTCACATTTTACTACAAAAAAAGCTATTAACAGCAGGTATCATGACAACTGGGGGTACTTTTACTAATTATTTCATAAATTTTTATACACTTTCTGTACTATGGCAGAGACATTTATTAAATACTGTCAACCAGGATTAATGTGAGAGATAATGGGCCATCATCATCTGCATCTTTATACTTTAGTAAGCTAGCAAGCATCTAATATTTATGAAATTATAAATAAGTATGTGTATATAATCTCATGCCCCTTCTTAGGCTAAAGGAAATAGAAGAACGGCTGCATGGATTGAAAGCATCATCTATGACACAAACACCTGCCTTAAAATTTAAGGTAAGGAAAGAGCAATGTGTTCTTCAACATTGATCTCAGTATTTTTTTTAATGTTATTTGAAATATGCCGTTAGGATTCAAATGAAAGTTTATTGTTCTTTCAAAATAAATGTTTATTCAACATATACTATATGTTGGACACTGCTAGTTTCTGGTTGTACAAAGAAAAGAATAGACAAGTCAGTTCCCTAGTCCTCAGGTTGTACAACACAGTATTATTAATGCTATTATCAGTATACAGAACAATATACGTACGAGAGGGAGGTTCTAACTTTGCCTGCAAAGGTTTACAAAGGAGTGATATTTGTACTTGGTCTCAGTAAATTAGATATTGCCCAGCAAAAGAAAGGAGAGATGCTATTCTGTTTAAGAGGAATGGCATAAACAGAGGCATGGAGGGGTATAACTTCATATACCCCAAGAAACATCAACTAATCTAGAATAGTGGTAAAGAAAAATAGAGACTGATGAGAAATATTTATTATTTAGAATTAAGAAATCATAATGACCACTTAGTTGGTCAGTGGTGAGAAAAAATCAGAGGAAGTATATGAGTAATGATTCCAGGGATGGAAAGCTGGCATTTCAATGGATGAACAATATATGACAAAAGCACAAGACAGAGGTGCACAGGGTTAGCTTGGAGCTGGGCGAGCAAACTTAGTTTAGCTAGAATATACAGGAGTCAGAACAAGGAGACAGTAAGAGAGCAGGAATAGCTAGAAATAATCAACTTGTATTTGATACGGGCATTGGGAAGCTTTGCAGGATTTTTAAGTATCATAATTACCTGTTGAAAGCAGTGTTTTAGGAAAATGTGGCAGAGGTGTCAGCATTGACTAGACTATCGGAAAGGACATACCCTGTAGCTGAATAACAAATAACTTGTTTGCAGTGTTAAATGGGAAATGTCATAAGTTTCCTAATACTCATTTCCTGTTGAATATTTGCTCATGTCTAGTATACTATATTACCTCTTCTTGAAATGTGTTTCTTTTATCACAAGAACTTAACACACAGGTTAAGATGTGGAATGATGCAGAAATTGCTTTAAAACATGAGGAGTTTTTTAATTGAATCTATCTCCATTACTTACAAAGTGTTTAAGATATATATATACACACACACGCACACACACATACACCATACATTTAATACCATATGGTAAGTTATAACATATTTTTCAAAGCCATAAGACTATGGTCTTTGGAGTAATCCCATTGTAGAATTTGAGTTTCATCTCTACCATCATTTTTTTTTTTTTTTTTTTGAGACGGAGTCTTGCCCTGTCCCCCAGGCTGGAGTGCAGTGGCGTGATCTTGGCTCACTGCAACCTCTGCCTCTCCAGTTCAAGTGATTCTCCTGCTTCAGCCTCCCGAGTAGCTGGTTTTACAGGCGCCTGCCACCACGCCCAGCTAATTTTTGTATTTTTAGTAGAGATGGGGTTTCACCATATTGGCTAGGCTGGTCTCGAACTCCTGATCTTGTGATCCACCCACTTCGGCCTCCCAAAGTGCTGGGATTACAAGCGTGAGCCACCGCACCCAGCCTATCAGACCTTTTATTCTCAAAAATAAACCAGGTTATGGCCAGGCACGGTGGCTCACGCCTGTAATCCCAGCACTTTGGGAGGCCGAGGCCGGCGAATCACGAGGTCAGGAGATCGAGACTATCCTAACTAACACGGTAAAACCCTGTCTCTACTAAAAATACAAAAAAAAAAATTAGCCGAGCTCGGTGGAGGGCGCCTGTGGTCCCAGCTACTCGAGAGGCTGAGGCAGGAGAACAGCGTGAACCCTGGAGGCGGAGCTTGCAGTGAGCTGAGATCGCACCACCACTGCACTCCAGCCTGAGTGACAGAGCGAGCCTCGGTCTCAAAAAATAATAATGAAATAAAATAAACCAAGTTATTTCCCACCTTGGCTTTAATTCATTTGGTTCTCAGTCTGGAATGTTATTCTTTCCAGCACCAATATCCAGCCTCAGCTGTAGAAAGCTTTTTCGTCTTTTACTGGCCAATGCAAATGCTACCTCCTCTGTAAAGCCTTCAAAGTTGGAATTATTTTTTTCACTCTCTTAAAGCATTCTTTCCCTCTGTTATGCACATATTTTATTCTGCTTTACCCACAGGACTGTAAACTTTGGGTGCAGAAGCTGTGCCTTATTGGTCTTTATATCCATCACAGCACCTAGCGTATTACTTCGCACAAAGTAGTACCTCAATAAATATTTGATTAGTGTATACAAATATTTAAGAAAATGATCCTTATCTTCCTTGTATTCAACTTGTGTTAGATTTAAAGATAATGAAGTGTCTCATGGAAATAGATTATTCTAGAATGGTTAAGGGGTAGCAGAGCCCATCTGGATAACTCTTATTAAAAATGAATATACTCAGAGATAATTTTATTATTTGTATTTTGCCATATATTGTCATGCCCAAATTTTGTTGAAAAATAACACTTCACCATTTTTAAACTTTAAGATGACTTTATCATTTTAGGTTGAGAATTTCTTCTGTATGGGATCCCCATTAGCAGTTTTCTTGGCATTGCGTGGCATCCGCCCAGGAAATACTGGAAGTCAAGACCATATTTTGCCTAGAGAGATTTGTAACCGGTTACTAAATATTTTTCATCCTACAGATCCAGTGGTGAGTTGCAATATAGACTCTTTTTCTCAATGTCAAATTGTTCCTAAAAAGAATCTATCAGCTGTAGCTCACACCTGTAATCTCAGCACTTTGGGAGGCTGAGGTGGGCAGATCACCAGAGGTCAGGAGTTCAAGACCAGCCTGACCAACATGGCAAAACCTCGTCTCTACTAAAAATACAAAAAATTAGCTGGGCATGGTAGTGCGTGCCTGTAAGGCAGGAGAATCACTTGAACCAGGGAGGTGGAGGTTAGAATGAGCCAGGATCATGCCACTGCACTCCTGCTTGGGTGACAGAGTAGTGAGACTCCATCTCAAAAAAAAAAAAAGCCAGGCGCAGTGTTCATGGCTATAATCCCAGCACTTTGGGAGGCCAAGGCAGGCGGATTGCATGAGCTCAAGTTCGAGGCTAGCCTGGGCAACATGGTGAAACTTTGTCTCTACTAAAATACAAAAAATTAGCTGGGCATGGCTGTAATCCCAGCTACTCAGGAGGCTGAGGCAATAGTATCGCTTAAACCTGGGATGCAGAAGTTGCGATTAGCTGAGATTGTGCCACTGCACTCCAGCCTGGGCAACACAGTGAGACTCCGTCTCCAAAAAATAAAAATCTATCTAAGACATCTTACAAGGTGCCATGGAATTAATGAATAACACTTCATTTATCTGATTATTAAATGTGTGTTTTGGTTAATTTAGAGCTCATGAGATAAAATACCTTAGAGATGGTCTGGTTATGTTGCATTTGTAATACAAGAACATAATGTAAAAATATTATTCCCAGACAATTAATACAAGAGACAGGAGTCTACTGGACTTTCAAACCTTAACCAATTGTAATACCAGTAACCTAGAAACCATAAATCTTAAAAATCCTGCTCTAAATACTTTTTTATCTAAAATATGCTACAATATTGGAATGTGTTTTGTAGGCTCTCTGAAAAATGAAAATATTCAAATATTAAACATCAAAATAAAACTTTATTATAGCCTAATAGAATTGTAAAATGTTGGATTTTTCTATTCTTTATTATGTTCATGCTGTAAATATTTTTTTTAATGGAAGAACCTTGCATCCTGGTAAACAGTGTAATGCCAAGTAAGATTTTTAAACAAGAAAAATGTCCCCTTAAAACTTCTTTGGGACAAGGCTGGTTTAACTGAATATTAAACTATTTTAAATAGCATTTATTCTCTGAAAAAATAGCTTTATATAATTGTGGAAAGTCTTTTAAAGGATCCTTTTAGCTAGTACCAAATAAATATAACATTGACTAACCATTTGAATTTTAGAAAATCTCCCATATAAAGACTTACAACTGCTATATTAACTTCACTGAACTGGAAGTTTAATATAAGATTCAAATACAAACTGCACAATCCTGGCCAAGTTATTTCTGAGACTGTATCTTATCAGTATGATGTAGATAATAATATTTTGCCTTCTAGGATTGTTAGGATTAAGTAAAATATATATATACACCCAGCTAGACAATAAGCATTTCATTAACATATACTCATTTTATTCATGGTCTCATAACTTGAAAGTGAATTTCAGTCCATAGGTCTGCTCTGAGCCCTGTCCTTTGTATATCTTAAACTTTGTTGTAACTTTAAAGAAGGGTTCCAAACTCACACATTTTTATTATTCATTTTATACTTTCTCTGTGATTTTTTTTAAAAATTAATACTTTGTTAAATAGTTTATGTCAGAAAGGTGCAAGGCAGTTTTTACAAATGTTATCTGTTCTTTCTCACATCTCTGTAAGAAAGGAAGTGTTGACCAGGCGCCGTGGCTCACGCCTGTAACCCCAGCACTTTGAGAGGCCAAGGTGGGCGGATTACGAGGTCAGGAGATCGAGACCATCCTGGCTAACATGGTGAAACCCCGTCTCTACTAAAAATACAAAAAAAAATTAGCGGGGCATGGTGGTGGGCGCCTGTAGTCCCAGCTATTCGGGAGGCTGAGGCAGGAGAATGGCGTGAACCCGGGAACGGAGGTTGCAGTGAGCCGAGATCGCACCACTGCACTCCAGCCTGGGCGACAGAGTGAGACTCCATCACAAAAAAAAAAAGAGAGGTGGTGTTACCTCCTTTCTACATCTCAGGAAACTAAGGGCTCCGAGACCTAGTGACTTGACAAGTATCATGCGATTAATAAGTGACAGAGGCCGGGCACAGTGGCTGGTGCCTGTTATCCCAACACTTTGGGAGGTTGAGGTGGGAGGACTGCCTGAGCCCAGGAGTTCGAGACCAGTCTGGGCACCATAGTGAGACCCTATCTCCAGCTTAAAAAATAAAATTTTTGAAAAATGTAAATTAAAAAGTAAGTGGTAGAAGCCAGAATATGAATTGGGGGATGCTGATGCCATATCCATTGCCTTTTCTGCTGTCTCATCACTACTTCACATCAGACAGATGCTCTTATGTTGGCATCTGATTTATGCTGTTACTATATCAATCTATTTTAAAATAGAGCTAAGGTAGAGCTTAAATAGAGCTCCTAAAATATTAAAAATTGGCTTTGTTTGCTGTTTCCCAGGATTACCATCTACTACTTCAACTTTGCTCTTGAGACTAAATAAATCCAATTGTTACATGATATCAGAACATAATAAAAATATTTCTCTGAAAAATTAATTGATAGACATTATTAGCCTAGACTGTTTTTCATAATCTCATCATTAGACCAACTGTATATTAACAGTGAACAAATAGAAATACATGTTTGAAATAACTATTGTTTTTTAATTAAATTCCGTCTCTGAGGCTTACATAGCATGCAATAGAGTAAGAACAGTTTATTAAAATCCAAGCATTGTGCTTTAACGCTGTGTTTCTTTGAATTTTTTTTTTAATCAAGGCTTATAGATTAGAACCATTAATACTGAAACACTACAGCAACATTTCACCTGTCCAGATCCACTGGTACAATACTTCAAATCCTCTACCTTATGAACATATGAAGCCAAGCTTTCTCAACCCAGCTAAAGAACCTACCTCAGTTTCAGAAAATGAAGGCATTTCAACCATACCAAGCCCCGTGACCTCACCAGTCTTGTCCCGCCGACACTATGGAGAATCTATAACAAATATAGGCAAAGCAAGCATACTAGGTAATTTATCTTAAGTATTCCTTATCTATGCATATAAGCACTTTTATAGACATAAAGTTTGGGGAACTAGAAGCATTCTATGTATTAGGAAACTCCCAATAGTTAATCCCTGTGTCTAGAATTAACTACCCTCCCAGTGTTCGTATTTGAGGCCCAAAAAGCTCAAAGGTCTCTGATTAGATCAGATCTTATAGTTTTAGAATATGAGATAGCTGGATGGACCAGTAAAAGCTGTTCTAAGTTCCTCGTTTTAATCTTGATCCTACCACTTACTGCGAGATCTTAAACAAATAATACAGTTTTTAATGCTCTACTTGCTCATCTGTGAAATAAGAAAGCACTTGTGTCAGAGGGTACGCCTACCAACCAGTTCTCTGATCTATTCTAAAAGTCTCTCAAACTATGTGATTCCTGAGGACAACAAGGATGTTTAATTTTTCTTTGAATGATCTCCAGTACTAGCACAGTGTTTGGCTGTATCACTGGAACCAAATTATGTGCTATTTGAATCTATCCATTGCCTTTGGTTACAAGTTGCCTTAATATAAAGTCCCACAAGGTGGCACTATAAATAGGCTTTATCTGCTGGACTCTTTTGCTGTTTCACTTTCTCATATTAATACATTGTTTGTTGATGGCTTTTTCTTACATATCCATTTAAATTCAGTAGTAAGTATATCAATAGTAAATCTATACTCATATCAATGGCATGGTTCTTTTATTAAAGATTTTAATCTTGCCAAGTATTTTAATAAACCATGATCACTTGAATAAAATAGAATCTTGATTCCTTTGTTTATATATTCCTATGTTATATTCCTAGAGCTTATACAACTGTCTTTCTATTCACCATTTTTATTTAGAAACCTGCAATATAAATTATAATTTTCTTATGTTCACACCCTGGAAAAACATGACTAGGGTTTGATCGCTCTGCCAGTTGGCTGTAATTATGGGTGGTGCTCTTTAGCTTAGCGTATGGTGTAATTTAACAGAATGACTACCCTGCTTTGTGAAATACAGGAGCTGCTAGCATTGGAAAGGGACTTGGAGGAATGTTGTTCTCAAGATTTGGACGTTCATCTACAACACCGTCATCTGAAACATCAAAAGACTCAATGGAAGATGAGAAGAAACCAGTCGCCTCACCTTCTGCTACCACCGTGGCGACACAGACCCTTCCACATAGCAGTTCTGGCTTCCTTGATTCTGCATGTTAGTTCATACATTATTTCCTTAAGTTTATACTGTATCTTTTAAAACTTGGGGAGGGCAGGGGGGAGGTATAAGATATTAATACTAGCTAGTCAACTCTAAGATCTAAAGTGTGCTTTAGCTTTGAAAGAAAAAAATGCTTTCCTTCTGCTTATATTTTTAACAGTAATTTGCAGGAAAATGCAGTTTTACTTTCTGCATTGGTGGATTAATAGAATATTAATAATTAGGGCCTTGTGGCACAGGGTCTTAAACATCAAACATAAAACAAATCTCTTTAGGGTAAGTACCCCCTGAAGTTTATAAAGTAGATTCTTACTAATATGATCTTCTCAGTCTCAAAAATCATGTAATTATTGCTTTAGATCTGTGCGGTATCTGGTCTTGAGACTTTAAAAACTGCTATACCAAAGTCATCCTGCTTCTATTCAAAGCTTAGAAATTTTGTTGGATCTGCTGAATGGCTTCCAATTCTATCCCAGTTACCTAGTGTAAAGCAGATATTGAAAAAATGAGTAAATAAATGGATAGTTATGTTGGACTTAGCATTATAATGGATCTTTATTTAAGCTTTCTCCAGTGGACTTATAAAGTTTGAAATGTTGAGTAGTTGTGAAACACTAATACACTTAGTATATATTTACTTCCAAGAGTCTGAACTTCAACATTATTTTTAGGTGTCTAGTAAAATAATACTAAAACATCAAGTCCTATTTTTTCATTGACACCTATAAAGAAATATAAATTCTGAAACTAGCTACTCCTTTTCTGTAACTATAGCAGGGAGAAAACTTTTCTTTCTCTAGAAATTTTTTAACAGATTATATTTGTTACTTATCATGTTGTGTTCTTACTGTGTCTGCTATTCTAAATTGTAAAATGATGGCATTCATTGCCATCCATCCTTAGAAAGTTCAGGTGTGACACTCCTAGAGGCTGACTAATTCTTCCATAGTCAACTCCACTCCAGGATGAATTATTAATAGGGTTGAACATTTCTACTTGGGGAACAGCATTTTTAATTTAATTCTATCTGTGCCAGACTCGGTATCTAAAATTTTATAGTTGCAAGTCTGGAAAATTCTTTTTTAGACTTTGATATTTGCATTAAATATATTTTAGTTTTCCTATAAGAGTTCTCATACTATTTCTGACTTGTTTCTACTTAATATCAAAAATGTGACTGTGAAAATACAAAATTCTGTTGTGACATGCAGATGTCAAGAAAACTCTAACTCCTGAGAAAAATTAATTTCAAAGAATTTTGTAAGGTAGCAGATAAAAAGTCATGGTTTTCTGTAATGTCATTAATACACAACAGTAGTGCTGGTAAACATAGAGTGAGGGAGGGAGCAAGAAGAACAGGGGTTTAACCCCCTAGAAAAAGGTAATGAAAGCTTATGTATAGAAACTATAGGATCTGAGGGAATAAAACCTTTTTAGTTTTTTTTTTTTCTGTTTAACGTCGTAATTTCAAAATAATAGAGAAACACCCAGTTTTTTCTTCCAGAACAGCAGTTAGTAGAAGTGCATAGCTGTATTGCATCTTTTTATTTTGAGAGCTTAACAAAATACATACTATGTCATTCTTACACATAAATTCTTTGATAGTCCAGATGGTAAATTTGTTGTCAGCAAGACGCAATGTGAAGTAATCATTGAGTCTTACACATATTCATATATTACCCATACTTAACATATTATACATATTACACATACTCACCTCTAGATATAGATATAACTATTAAAATTAGACTATTAATTATAATAAGATTCTGCCTTTTAAATCCTATTCCCAAGATTTGCTTTACTAATTATTTGGCTTGCTTCAATAACGCAATCTGTGTAATCATCATAATTTCTCGTCGTAAGTGCTGTGTCTTGGCTATATCGTGCAAATCATAAAACTTTTCTTCATTAAATCTTCTTTCTGAAATTTGGTCATTGTAATTAGGTGATTCTGACTTCCCTCCTTCCTTCTACTTACATTGGTTGCCTCATTTCTTCTAGATAACCTTTATTCTGAAGCTACCGACTTTGATTCACTTGCTATTTGAGGGTAAAATGGGGCACAGGCTTAGAATTCATGATCTGTTTCTTTATGTGAAGAATGAATGTTGTCAATTGAAACCTATTTTATTTTCATCCAGTTGAAGCATCTTACATAGCTATTCTTCATTTCTTTTGAAAAGTCTAGACTTCTTTTCTAACATATAATGCAAAGATCTGTTTCTTTTAGCATTGTTTTGCAACTAGGTTAGGGACTAAATTAGCTATGAATTTGGGGAATATCTGGGTGTTAACAGATTATGAGATTATATTTCAAGTTACTTATGCATACATTTTCCATGAAGGAGCTCCTTACAAAAATTTAGATGTGTACGACTTTATGTGTGCTAGATTTAGTCAACTTATTTGGGAGTGGTGTTCTAACTTTTGGCCACAACATCATTGAAGGCCATTTTTAATCATCAGCCAACGCTTTACAGCATCTTGTGTTTTTTTTTCACAGATTTCAGACTTCAAGAATCGTTCTTTAATCTCCCACAACTTCTTTTTCCGGAAAATGTAATGCAGAATAAAGATAATGCCCTCGGTATGGTATATGTCAGGAATAGCATTCAGAATACTATAAAAATGATCTACTTAGAGTTCTTCTGCTCATTGAAAAATTGGATCAGTTCTTCTATGAGATCAGCTTCAGTGTTACCATTATAGACTATTTTATGTGTATTTTCTTCCCATATGTTCTAATCTTAAATGGTAGTGGTTCTAAAACCTGAAAATTGAGTAGCCACTTAATGTGCTAAAGTATACTCATGTATACTTCTACAAAGAAGGAACCTGAAGAAAAGCATAAGGTCATTTTCTTTCTTCTTTATTGTCCTAAAGGCTCCAAAGAGGTTTGCTATTTCTTTTCATTTAATACATTTAGATATAAAAGGGTTTCTAATAGTACAAAGAATGTAATCATTCTTGGTTATTTCAGGTATCAGTAAATTTACCACTTAGCGTTGTAGGTATGTCATAGCTGATTGCTTTCAACACAAATATTTAATGTAGTTTAGGGGAGTACATTCACTTTAAAAAATAGTATTCTTAGATGTAAGAGATATTTTTAATCTCTTAATTTTCAGTATATTCTAAATGTATCACTATGGGTTAACTTTAGCAGTTTAAAATTATTTTTATGACGAACTTCTGATTCCTTTTTCCACAGCTTCTCTTTTAAAAAAAAAAAATACTGGATTTTGTCTTTGACAAATCACGTTACAGCATTTTGCGGTTTGTTTTTGTTTTTTGGGTTTTTTTTTAATGTTTTAACCACATCTCATTTTACAGTTTCTTTATTTGATCACCAATTTTCATAAATTTTTTTCAATTTAAAAAAAAAACTCTTTTACTACTTCAGTTTGTGTTGATCTAACTCAGTGAATTCCCCTTAAGAAATTATCTTACGTAAGTGCTCTCTCTGGTCTCTGCCCAAGCCAGCCTCTTTCATAAAGAAATAATTTTATTTATGTTGTTTGCATTTTTGGTTGGAGAAAGGAAAATTAATTCACTCATATATTTGTCCTGCAACCAAGTAGCCCATATATCCAATATCTCAAAACCATCCTACCTAGCTACCTAAGCAGTTAAACCTGTAATCATAACTACACAAAATGATTCTGGTGGTAATATCTATATGGCTTCTTTTTGCACTTCCTGTTTTCATTCACTCAACAATTGTTTACTTCACTGTTTACCTTGAGCCAAGAGACCATGGTAATCACTAGAAAAGATAAGATGAAACAAATTTCAATTCTGCCTATAAAGATGCTAGTGTGAAAATTATCTATTTTCTAGAGAGCATGAACTCTAGTAGGGAAGGTAGATAACTGCATAAGTAATTATAATATATGGTAGAATGTGATGAACCACAAAACAGAGGTATAGTGAAGGACTCTCAGTTCTAAGGAATGAAAGATTGCTTTCACCTGGAGAAAGGTCTCAATCATTCATACGGAGAAATGAATGGCTAGATTTGTTGGACCCTTCACAATTTGGTTTGACAAAATTTTCTAGTCAAAGTCAGAACTACTCTGTTTTAATCATTCCTGGTTTTTCTCAAGAAAACTAACATATTTCCCTTCGTGCCCCATGCTTCCCACCTCTGCGGTTTTACTCATGCTGTTTGTCCTCCCTGCAATGTCTTTTCATCTCTACATGTCCAAATCCTCCTCCTTCCAGAGAGCCTTTTATGATTTCTCCAGGTGAAAGCCATCTTTCATTCCTTAGAACAGAGAGTCCTTCACTGTGTCTCTGCTTTGTGGTTCATCACATTCTACCATATATTATAATTACTAATTATATGTCTGTTGACAAGCCTTGTGCACACAATAATTCTCTGATGAAAGGACACTCCTGATGACACTTGACCTTCACACTATGGAGATTCCTTGATTGTCAAGCACTTCCACATGGAATGTGGCAGATACTCTACTTTGGAGAACAGGGAAAGAAATAAGCCCATGTATGTGACACCCCAGAAAGAAAATAATCCATGTTTTAAAACAGTTTAAGCAGAGTTGATGATTGTTTAAAAACACAGTTTCTTTTCTCATTTTTACTTCTCTTCAACTGTTTAGAAACCTGATTCTTTTTTTTATGGATAGAGAAATTCTGTCACTTGGGCATTCCAGAGAGAAAAAGGAGTGATGATTTTATGTTCTCCTTTTTTTTTTTTTTTTTTTTTGGCTTTTTTTTTTGTCTTCCTTTATTATTTCATACTAACTTTAGCATACAAAGGAAAGAACTTCACAAATAGAA